TGTGAATTCGTAAAAGAAAATCAAAACGCTAAGTTGTTTTTTGGTGGTTTTTTTAAGAGAATCACTAAATACTGCAACATTTTTGTTTTATCTTTCAGATTTTTTTCTGTTCTTTAATTTAATTCTAAGAACGGGTTTATTTCGTGATTCATTATTAATTGCGCTTTCTGAGGGTCGTGGGTGCAAATCTCTGTAACAGAACACGCTCACACTTTCAGCCGTCGGGGCGCTATAATGTGACAGTCAATCTTACTATTCGTTGGTAAAAGAGTAGCCCAAGAGTTGGCGGTTGGTGATGTTGATTAGCTGCCTTCCCTCTAGTCTTTCACTGATAAATAAGGGACGGCTAGCGCTGATAGTCTCCGTGTTGTTTTACGCGAAATTCAAAACAAAACAAACGAATTATTAAATGCCATTTTCTGTTTCTTTTTTGTAGGTTATCGTTGTTTTTTAAGCCCCTTACTTATGTATATGCTCGTGTGTGCATTTGAGTTGTCTAGAAATTTGGCGACTTTAGAGATAAAAACTAGGTAATCCAATCTGCCAAACTGTCTATTTCTTACGTATGAATGGAATAGTGGTTACCATATCTGGCTGTGAATCCGAGAATTCATGGGTCGCGACCCGTTGTCACAAAATTACACTTTAAATTTGGAACCGTGGGTGCATTATAAAAGTGACGATCAAATCCTACTTTTCAGATTATAATTAATTTAGATTAACTCAAAAGTTAACGGTGGGTGCTGTTGACTAGCTGCTTTCACTCTAGTATATCAGTTGAAAATTAGGGATGGCTACGCGTAGACAGCCCTTATGTAACTATGCGCGAAATTTCGAAACAACCAACCAATTGATTGGCGAATGTAGTCATCCAGACACCTTTCATCGCCACAAGAAATGCTTGACGTTTCGCTGAACATTCACATCTTGAATAGTTGTGAGTCACGAAGTTGTCTGACTCCATAGCACTAGCCGTAAAATCAAGACATGTTTTTTCTTGAAGGAGCTGTCGTGGTATTTACTTCTGGAGTTGCAAAAATTCCTATTACTTGGCAAATGCACTAACTACATTTTATGTTAGTATTATATGCAATGAACTACCCCCCCCCCCTACCCCCCAATG